TCTACTAAATTGAATTTATTAAACCAAAATTCACAATTAATAAACTACCACTTGAAAATATTTATTCGCTGTCCGGAGCAAGTTGGCATCTCTGTGTATGTAACTAAAAATACATTTTTGTGCGTTCTATAATTTCCTCAAACCATTTTAGCAACAAAAATAATATTAAAAAAAATTAAAAATTTAGTCAAATTATGTGTTTCTAATAATCTTGGCTTCGCCGGTCACCGGTGACCCCCATGGCATTCAACGTGTTAAAATCCTTGATTTTGTACGATGTTTAACCACCTTAATCTGTTATATAGGTTCTTCCTTTGTTAGAGCGTGCAATTGATCAGGCGTTACTAATTAAACTTCGAGGATGTGAATTCATTGAGTTTGTTGTTGAAATAGGATTTGGATCACAGGAAAATAGGCATACTTGCATATGCGGTTGGAGTTGGTTGTACTAATAGAGATGGATATACTGATGGAAATATTTAGTGCGCCAAGTCATCGAAGATCATGTGTTTAGTTTAGACTTTTGTTTCATTTCGATAAATGTAGGGGAGAGTAGGGTCAATTGTAACATTTTTTACTTAATTATTTTTAACTAACAAAAAATCTAACATATTATTAGTATTAATCGACAGACGAGTAAAGTAGACTGTCCTCTACAAGGAAAAAAAATAAATACCTTATTTTAAATGTTATTACATTAGTCATTAACAATTTATAACAGTCATGCACTTGTTACAATTGTCCCCACTTACGGGGTCAATTGTAACAGTTCATAAATTCAACTAAAACATAGTTAATTATACATATTATCATAGTTGTGATATATTTCTTTATTGATCAAAATAGCAGTGATATTTTAGGAGTAAAACTAAAAATGAGCAGAGGCCTAAAGGGTTAAACTTTTAACTTTAAGGGGTTAAAAATTTAAATTTATGCTGTGAAAGGTGACAAATAAAATAATGCACATGCAATATAATATAAATCATATAGAAAACCATTGGTGGTTCTTAAAGAGTTAAGTAATGGTTTGTAAACATAAGATTACTTATTTTCAGTTGCTACAATTGTCCCATTACTTATTGTTACAATCGTCCCCAAGACGCCATTTCAGCTTCATTTGTTAAAAATTATGCTAGTTAGTTAACAAAACTAATTTTTTTTAATTGAAATGTTAATTAAGGTGTCCACTTACATATACGGTTAATAATTTTTATTTGTTTAAACAAAATTACTTTCTCACAATATAATATTCTAATACCAAAAAAAGTACTTACGTAGCGTGAAAATATCTTTTGGGATGTAACTCTTTCAAAAGTGCGAAAAAATGGTTGCCAGCAGGGGTGTACATGTAGATTTATTAAAGACACCTTGTGCTCCACCTAGGAACCAAATCTAGAACCCGACACTCGAAATTTTTGCTCTGTTACAATCGTACCCTGTTGCAATTGACCCCACTCTCCCCTACTAAACAAGATCTAAATACAATAAAACCTGGAGAAAAAAAATTTCAGTTTTTAAAAGGGTGTTAAATGGATAAAAATGGCTATTTAAAAAAACGCGTAAGGTTGCCGCAAATTATAATTGTTTAGTTATGAATTGCTTTATAGCATTTAAAAATAATTAACTTTGGGAATAGAGTATGCATTAGTATCTAATTAATCATTTTTATTTTAATTTGACTGCAAAATATAAAATATTAGTTTGATCAGAGAGGGGGAAAGAAAAAAATATGCAGAATTTTAAGAAAAAATAAGATTAAAATGTTTTAAGGTATCGCAGTTAAAATGAGAGGAATTTGAGAGCGAACACGTTTTGAGATGTACGGCAAAGCAGACAGACCTTGCTATTTCAAGATATCGTAACTTCGAATTTAATTAAGTTAAAAACAAAATTCAAAATAATTCTGGGGGAAAAATAAATTCTTTAAATTTAATTTAAAAAAATAACTTGATGGCTTAGTCATGATGAACCTAAAAGAATTTTCGAGAATTTTAATACAGAGGTAGATGAATTATAAGAGGCAGATGAAGGTTAACTTACAACATTCTAAAATGGTTTATCCGTGACAGATAAGAAATAAGAGACCCAGAAAAAACATCTGAATTCAATGGTCAGATTCTAGTTCAAGCAGATTCTCTTTTTTGGATTTGAATAGTTATTTACGGCTTATTATTATTATTATTCGACTTTTCAAATTATAAAATGAAAGTTGGAATTTTAAAAAAAGTTTGAATGTCTGAAAAATTTAACAACAAACTAAAAAAAATTTTACTTTTGGTTGCGTTAAAAGCCTTTGTATATTTATTCCTTAAACGAAATTTAAAAAAAACGTAGATATTATCGTATGTATTCATGATTGTTTTTACTTTTATTTTGTTCGATTTTAAGAGCATTTTCAATTATACCCACTCCCCCCCCCATCTCCCTTCATTATATTCCATACGAAATTATAAAACCAATGTCTGAGGGAAAAAAATAGTCAAAAATAAACTAAAATGAATTTAGAGAGCAGGGTTCCATGCAATTTAACCATTTGAAGCAAATTATAGTCATTATTTATTAATGATGTATTTCTTTATAACAATATCTTGTGGTTGAAGATTGCATTCCTTTTTCAAGTAAAAAAAAATAAGCTGAGGTATCGAAATTAACAAAATTAAGACATTTATAAAATGATTTATTTTCAAAAATATTTTTTCTTCCTTTACAATTTGAGAATTTTTTTTTTCATTTTTATTTTACATATTTTGAGTTAGAAATGAATTTTCTAAAATAATTTTTATTGAGTCTTAGGTATGAATAAACATTTTAAGTGATGATTTCAGAAATCTTGAATGTAATTTTCGATTAAACCCTAAATTTATAGTGGTTACGAACGAATTGTGCAACGCTTCTGCATAGAAAATTATTGAACATTATAAAAATAAATAGTAGCATTTTATTTTATTTTATAACCGACTTTGAACAGCCTATCTAATTCTGAGTTTACAGCTATCAATAATAAACTCCGTAGCCTTGTAATTTTGAACCCAACCTAGAAGGCAAGGGAATTTCTGGATGAAACATTTGGACAAACAAACCTTCCTGGTGGACCTTATGATGAAACTAACCCGCATTTGTGCTACATGAAGAGGAAGGCTACTCATGGTTAGCTAGACGGCAAAGAAAGTCCAAGACAGTGATTCTCAACCACTGTGCCGCGGCACTTTTGTGTGCCACCAAATATTAGAAATGATACAATAAAAATTACAATATATATATATAAATTTTTTAATATTGCTAGTTTTCTCAAAATTCTATTGAACTTTTTAAAGTACTTCTGTGTTATTTATTTTAGAATAACATTAGGGGCACACCAACCTCAACGTTGTAATTTTTTTTTGTTGCTCTTGTTGATTATTATTACATCCTAGTTATCCAATGAANTAGGTATATATATATATAGTGTTTGAAGCGTTTAAATTGTCTCTGGCAATTTTAGAAAATGTTGAAATAAGTAGAAAATTTAACGACTATTAAAATTATTAATTAACAAAAGAAGGAAAGCTAAATATTAACTTTCAAACGGAAATAAAAAAGCTAATCATTAAAGTAAGCTAGATAATTAATAGTTATAAAAGCAAATTAACAAAGGATAACTAACAAAAAGATAGCTAACAATTAATAATTAGCAAAAAATCTAGTTAACAAGAAATCACAAAAAATAACAATGTAAAAAAACTAACAGTTAATAACTATAGAGAACAAGCTAACAATTAATAGCTAGCAAAAAAAAATAACTGTTACCAACTAATAAAAATTAGTCGAAAAAAATAATTAATCTCATAATAAACTTCTTTTGTAGTACATATTATTTTATTTCACATTCAAAATTATTATCACAAACTATTTAACACGGAGTATTATAGGTAAGTAAGCAACTTCTAAACTAATTTTTTTCATTGAGTGCCGTCAAATTTCGAAATCGTTAAAAGTGTGCAGTCACAAAAAAAAAGGTTGAGAATCACTGGTCTAAGACATGATTCGTTTACTACTGAGGATATTAAGCATCAGCACTCGAGCAGAATTCGTATCAAACAGTCTCCCCTGGGATTCGAACCGAGGATGAATCCCTGAGTCTTTAAAATAAATAATGTAAAAAATAGAACAATGTTATAATCATTATTTAAAAAACTAATTCAAAGTGCAAAATATTTCTAGTAACTTATGAACTTTAAAAGCTCCTCTAGGAAAACCTTGCTTTCAAGATAATATCATGTTTTGTGATAAATAAATATAAATTTGAAAAATCGGCACTTCAACCGAATTATATTTAATAAAAAAAAAATTTCTTTTCAGTTCTTGTCTTCTGACTTTGTCTTTATGAAAGTATAAAATTAAGCATTGATAGAAATAAATTCGAATTGATTGAATCGTGTATTTAAACTAAAATAATTACAATAAAAATAATTTTAAATTTATTATCTTGGAGCCTCACTAAAAATATATTTGCTTTAAAAAAATCACAAAGAAAATCTGATTCATCACATACGCAGATAATTCACATGAGAACAGATAATTCACATAATAACAGATAAGAATTCTGATAATTCACAGATAGTCACTGAATCACTCTAACTAAATAAATTTTACAGTAAAAACTATGGTCTAATATGTTATGGTAAAAATGAATTATACAAGTCATGTACTCAAAGTTTCAGAGCTTTATATCGTAATTTGATCTGGGATTTTTTTACAGTACACTCACTATGAATTAAGTGCTATTTTTTAAACATCTTACCCCAATTTCTAATCACACATTTCATTTTAATCTATAAAAAGTAAAAAATCTCTTTAAGACAACAACAATAATAATTGTTATAATTTCAGTAGAGATACCAAGCACAAAATAAATAGAAGAGAAATAATCTCGTCTATTATTTTAGTCAACAACAGCTCTGTCCTTTAGTATGTCCCCTTCAGAATACAAAGACGAGTTCCTTTGCACGTCCACTGGTGGGCAACAGGGTGATATGCCGTTAGTTTCTTAAACTTATCAGTAATACGAGTAAGGGGAAGGGCATATTTTCCCCCAATTGTGGGAGTAAGCCAGTCAAACTTCCCCCTACTATCCGGTTTACACGGAGTTCATCTTGATGAGAATTCCAATTTTCTTTTGAATGATGAATGTGATACTAGGGGCTCCACAGATAATAGTTTTGTCTGGGAAATTTTACTTTAAATAAGGTTTATGAGTGATGAAGTTGTAAAACTTCAGCACGGAATGTGCCTTTAGACATTTGTTTGTGTTGGTATCTTATAATTAGTAAGTACTTAGTTTTCATATTGATCTTTGATTGTGTGTTTCATTAATTGCGATTTATTTTAAGGGGATCTGAAAAAATGTCTTTTTAAATGTAGGGATTTGATTCCTTATCGGTAAAAATAATTTTAATATCTCTCTTTAAAGCGGGGGAAAATATCGTGTCCAAACTAAGAAGTGAAATAAGGATAAGTAACGTTTATTATTGCCGTTATTACTACCGTAAGATAAACTTTTATTGTAACATAATATCTAATTTACATATAAAATATGATTTACAAAATTTTTACAGTAAAAATTACTGAATCAGATTAAAATTAAACAAATATTATTGTAAAATTTACGGTATAATATTTTACGGTAAATGGATTTTATGATTGATGCAACCAAAATTTTGATATTTTATACAGCAATTTAATTCTGAATTTTTTACAATGTTCCAGGGATGCTGAAACTGAAACTGTTATTTTCTTCAATGCTAATTTCGCTATATTTCTTCTACTTTTAAACAATATAACTCAAAAATTGAAGCCGAATATTCTCTTAAGTTTAAAATGTATTTTACTTTAATTTTCTTTCGGGTGCTTTAAATCTATCATCAATTCATCTTAACTCTTATATTTAATTTTTAAATAAATTTCTTAAAAACAGTAAGAAGAAAAAATATTCAATTTTAAAATTCGAAGTTTAAATGATAATAGCAAAAAATGGTGACAACAAATTGAATTTTTGAATAATTTAAGTATAATTGAAATATAATTTGTAGATATTAAAAAGGCAGACTGATTTCCGTTATAAATATATAATTAAAAACTTGTTTTTTTTTTTAAATTTTAAATATTTTTAAATGTTTAATTGCAGGTTTCTGAACAATTTTTGTATATTCATTAATGGTACAACAGAATTAAAAGTTTTAAAAATTGTATAAACTTCAAAAAACAAAATGTGTCATAGACCACCTTTATAATTTTAACAGTAACTACAATTATCGATACATAGGTTATTTTATGCGGCTCTCTCGAGAAAATTGATCAAAAACTTATTTATTTAAAATCTTATTCGCCCTTATCCGTGGAGTATAAAGATGTATTTTTATATCGAACTGAAAATTACATCAAAAAACATAAATATGCTGAGTAAATAGTCTACGCTTAAGCTATTTTGAAATAACATATAATACGCATTTAAATAAAAATCATCCGATTAATTCCTTCTAGAAATCAGAAAAAAAAAAACGTTAACAATTATTTTCATCGTAAATTAGACTAGGCACTAAAAATAAAGTCGTGCACTGATTTTTGTCATGCACAAATTTTTGACTGACTTTCCATAATTCTAGTAAAATAATACGAAGGAAAGCATGTTTAAATTATAATACACATGTATTTTTAAAAAAAATTACTTTATTAATATAATCTACAAATACGAAAAAAATAAATCACAATAACAATTATTCGTATCTTAGTTTGACAACGCGCACGAAAAAATAAAGTCATGCAAAGATTTTTGTAATTTTTAACTGACTTTCCATAATTAATTAAGGTGTAATTTTAGTAAAACAATAAAAAGGAAAACATTTTAAAACAATGAATAATACATAGATAATTAAATAAAAAATACATTATTATTTCTGTGAATAAATAATAAAAAAATTAAGGACAATAACAATTACTCTCCTCTTAATTTGACTGTGCAATAAAAACGAATTCATTCACTGATTTTTTTTTAATGTTTGACTTACTTTGCATAACTAATTAATACTTAATTCTATAAAAGCAATAAAAAAGAAAACAGCTTATATTAAATACTAAGATTTAGTCTGATAAAAAGAGCTTATATTTCCACGCGAAGCATAAAAAATAATTTCGTAAATAACTCCATAATACATTTATTCACTATTATAAATTATATATTAAAATTGAGTTTATGCATGAGTGTTTCGAATACAATTTCATTTAAAATTTATGCAAAAAAAGAAAATCCTTCATTTAATGTATTGTCAGTTTTCATTTATTTACTTAAGTATGCCTGTTCTTCGAAAGTAACTTATTTTTTTCAACTATTTCAAAATCAAATCTACTTAAATGCAATATTTTCAAAAGTAATCTTAATTTTTTATCTATTTTAAAATCAACTCAAAATCAAATACAAATTAATTCCAGCCTATATTTTCATCTTAACAAATATCGCGCATCATTCTTGTAAAATACAATTAAAAAAATAATAATTCATATCGTCTAATCTCTTGTTAAGTTGGAAAATTGATTTCGCGAAACATTTTTAATAGTAATATTAATTTTTTTTAACTATTTTAAAATCTACTCAAAATACAGTACAAATCAATTCCAGTCTACAATTTTCTCTTAACAAATACCGTACATCATTCTTTTAAAATACAATTTAAAAACTAATCATTCATTTTATCCTATCTTTTGTTAAGTTTAATTATTTTGAAAAACATTTTCAAAATTAATCTTAATTCCTTTAGAATCTACTTAAAATCAAATACAAATATTCCAGTCTATAATTTTTATCTTAAAAAATACCACGCATAATTCTTTTAAAATACAGTTTAAATCCTAATCATTCAGTTTCATCTAATCTTTTGTTAAGTTGGAAAATTAATTTCGCGAAACATTTTCAAAAGTAATATTAATTTCCTTTAACTATTTCAAAATATATTCAAAATCAAATACAAATTAATTCCAATCTATAATTTTATCTTAACAACTACCGCACATATTTCTTTTAAAATACAATTTAAATCCTAATCATTCATTTCATCTAATCTTTTGTAAAGTTAAATTGTTTTTGAGAAACATTTATAAAAGTAATATTAATTTTTTTTAACATTATTTTAAAATCTACTCAAAATCAAATACAAATTAATTCCAGTCTATAATTTTATCTTTACAAATACAGCACACAACTCTTTTAAAATACCAATTTAAATCCAAATCATTCATTTTATCTAATCTTTTCTTAAGTTGAAGAATTGTTTGCAAGAATTGATAATTCTATTATAATTCTGAAAAAAGGAAGAAGCAAAACACGTGTCGGCTGAGAGTTTATTCAACTGAATGTTGAAGGAAACTACAAGGACAAAATAAATAATAAAAAAGCATTCGTTTGGAACATAAAGTGGAATTATTGAGTAACCCTTTTCTCATAGTTTATGACACTAGAAAAAAATATATTAAGTGTTTTTTTCTTTCTATATAAGACTACAATGATTGGTCCAAATTAATATGAGTCAAGGAGATAACATTTAGGATAAACTATAATATTCATGATTATAAGAAAAATATCAGAGTTAATATAGCAGTTAGAGTGATAAACAAATTAACAAAACTCAGTATTCTCTCAATCGTAAGTTATTATTTTACTATTTCAGACATTATTAATTTGATCAATTTCGGATAGTTAGTTGATTCGAATGTAAACGTTTTATTTTCGGACAAGATTGAAACATTAAAGTTTTATTTCTCTAAACGTTAATTTAATTATTGTATGGTAATTATTTTTTAAAGTATATAATTAATTGCCATTCATCTATATACAATTTGGGCTCACTTTTGCATAATGATTTTAAAAGCAACCTTTTCTTTTCTTGGTGATTTTGCAGAATTTCTTTTCCAGTGTTTTTCTCTCCTCATTTTCTGTTTGAATCCTAATCGCAATTAATGTGCAGAGATTTCTAAGAATATATAAAACCTTAAAACTTAAAATTTTCAATCATTACTGTGATATAAATAAATAAAAAAAATTTTTTTGGTACGTTATATTTATTATTGCGTGCAAAATTATTTGGAATATTGGGACAAATTATTTGGAACAATTTATCGAACCCAAAATTTAATTTTAGCGTTTCTCTTACTTTAACTACCTGGGATTTAGTAATTGTGAAAGCAGAAAAAAAACGCGCTTTGCACACTCAATTTTCAAATGTGTCAAATTTAATGCTTATTTCCCGAAGTAAATATTTTACTTCAAAAAAGCCATTATTACATTATTTTTCAACTCAGCAGCGTAAAATAAAATACAATATGATATCATACACATTTTTGCTTCATTTTTAAGAAACTCAAGCTGAGCAACTTTCACATTTTTCTAGCAGAACAACAAACTACCACCTACTTTATCTATGTAAAATTTTTTCAATTAAAAACAAATATTAAATTTTCTCTATTGTGAAATACCTTGTAATTCGATTCAACTCACGATTATTTACAATTTTTCAAGACGACGCCCCAGAAAAAAAAATGCATTTTGCATTGCCAGATTTTTTTCAGTCTGTCAAACTTTTATTATAATTTACTGCGTTGTATGACTTTTAGTATGTGAAAAAGCAATTTACAACGATATAAGATGTTCAGTTTCGTCTTTGAGGGAATTAGGTCCAGCAGTAGGCACCGTTCCCAGGAGAACACCGAAGTAGGTGACAACTTTGAACCAGAACCTGTATAGGTCCTCATTTAACTGATATACTGTAAAAAATTCGACTTCGCTCATTGGTCGTTGAGCTACTGAGGAGGAGGAACCCCCAGCAGACGATAAAAATTTAGGTGGCATTCCTTTGGATCATCTTCAGGGTATTTCCAAGACCGTCCACCTCCCAATGAGGTTACCCAGGTTCGAACCCCAGTGGTGGCTGGTTGAGACGAATTCTGCTCCTGGATCGCATTCACAACAGTGCTTACGGGAAATATCATCAGTGCGTGATAGATCATGAGTAAGAATATCCTTGATACCAGGTTAACCATGGGAGGTTTTCGAGGTTTTTCTCTCCATGTAATGCAAATGTAGGTTAGTTACATCAAAAAGTCCAATACGAAAATAGTTTGTCCAAATGATTGATTCAGGCGTTCTCTAGTCTTCTGCGTTGTTCTGAAAACTACAAAGACATGGATTTGAATATTAATAGTCATAAACTTAGAATTGGATCTGCAGTTTAACGCCGATTACTAAATAAAATTGCCCATTGTTGTGCAGCCCTAGTGTGA